GCGAAACGTTAGGAAACAAAACTTCCAGAACATGGCCACACAGCCTGGAAGACCCACACCACCCTTAATATCAGGATACCTTGATGGATCACAAGCTGAACATGATCCAAAAGTGTGATTAAGTTGGGAAAAAAAAAAAAAGGAAATGTAATCCTAGTCTTCATCAATGGAAATGTCAAGATCAATATCAGCCAAGCCAAGTCATCCTTCCTTTCTATTCTGCATTGATCCAATCACATCTAAAATATTGTGTCAGGTCTGCACACCACATTTTAGGAAGATCATTGACAAACTAGAGAGTGCCTGAAGAGAGCAACCAAGATGATAAAGGGCATTGAAGGAAAACTGTCCAAGGAACAATTGGAGGCACGGATATGTTTAGCTTGGAGGGGAGAAGACAGAGGGGAGAAACGTTAGCTGTCAGAGTTCTTCCAGAAGTCAGGACAAGTTATAAGGAAGCTGACTTCAGATGAACTAAAAGAAAAATGTCCTACAGCAGCAGCTATTCAGTAGTAGAATAGATGGGAGATGGTGGATTCTTCTTTGCTGGAGGTGTGTAAACAAAGGCTGGATGCCAACTTTCTGGGATGCAGTCATGAAAACATACTTGCCTTGGGCAAATGATTCCACAAGACAGGTGCCACATAGGGAAGATTTGCTTCAATACTGTGCCCAAGCAGCCCCTTGTAAGCCATAAGCCATAGCCTGCTCAGTCTTGGCTAGTTAGAGCTAAAACTGGTGAAGAATGTCAGCTTCTCCTCCTGACAATTGCACGGCGTAAGTTTCAGCCGCTGGTATCTTTCAAAGTTGCCCCTTCATAGATTAGAGCTCAAGTACTTGAGGTATGAAACCAGACCTGGAGCTTGCAAAGCCACACATTCCCCTTTGCACAATGAATATTCAAGGACGGGGTTTTTTTCCCTTGGCAGCCTTACTAATTTTCCCTTATATGTGTCCCCTGCATCTCAACAAATGTGTGGCATTATGATTTTGCCAGGACCCTGTTTCCTTCAGCAACTACCTTCCATGTCTGCTTCCCTGTATCTGGTTGCAAAACTCTTCATCGTGACAATCTTAAAGAGCAAGGAGTGTGCACTCCTAATTTCCCAACAGCATGTAAACCCAATTTATTTTGGCAGTGCTTTGACACTTCTATTTATTTATTTATTAGGTTTTTATCCCACCTTTATTATTTGTTTATAAATAACTCAAGGCAGTGAACATACATAATCCTCCTTCCTCCTCCTTTTTTCCCCACAACAACAACCCTGTGAGGTGGGTTGGGTTGAGAGACAGTGACTGGCCCAAAGTCACCCAGCCGGCTTTCACGGCTAAGGCAGGACTAGAACTCACAGTCTCCTGGTTTATTTATTAAACTTATTTCCCATCTTTCTTCCAGAAGCTCCACACAGTTTACATAGCACTTGTGCCTCCAATTCCCCAACAAACAACCATTGGTTTCCAAGATTCTGAGAAGTTAACCTTTTCATCATGTGCAATCTACCAAAAAACTCTTTGCTCACCAACAGACCACTACAGTTGAATCATCTGAGAGAAATCTTTACATATTCTCAGCCTAGCATAAGCTTGTGCCTCTGGACAAAATGGTACCCCTTAATGGCCTTCAGATCAGATTTAGTCCAAGTTATAGTATATACAAAAAAGCCTATCATTTGTGGGAATGATAGATTTGTTGATTTATAGCAGACCTTTGGATTAAAATGCATTTCCCTATTTAATAATAGTACTGAACATTCCAATGTTCCCAAGGGCTCAAATCCCGTAGTCTTTGTAACAGCCCTTTATGTCACGCCAATATTATTGCCTATACTGAGGACAGAGGGGCAGGGGTTACACCTCCCTGCCTAAAAACCTCTCTTTCCTGGACAGCTGGCCTGGAGGAAGGTTTCCCTCTGCACAGGAATATCCTCGGCTCCAGGGTCACGCTGTGGCCTTTTCCATTGATCCTTTTTCTGAGCCAGGATCTCCCATGGGGTGGCTCTAGTAAACCCGGTGCCCTTTGGGCCATGTCACCAGAGGGACTGCTTGTCAACACCGGCCCCACCCCTCTGCTGAGAGCCAGTAGCCAATCCAGGGGCTGAAGGGAAGGTTGGGGACTTTGGGTTTCTCCTGACCCGGTCAGGTATCTAGAGACAGGGAGGACTAAGCTCAGCTGGAATGCCATGTTGTACCCAGCCTTCACGGGATAAGATGTCACCATGAACTGGAGCCAAAGTTCACTGGGTTCTGGGGGACGTGTGCTGCTTCTCTGCCAGACTTTAGACAGTGTTCCCGCCAGCTACACTGTCTTTATACAACGTAATCCGCAGTCTATATTTAAAGGCAAATAAAACAACAGAGAGGGAAGTAGAAGACAGAAAAAGCAAGAACGAATCACCCCAGTCTTTATAGTCTGATTATGTCCAGGCCATGGGAAAAAATCTACTGGCATGCATTCAAGGGAGCCACTCTAAGGAAACCCAGCTGGCAGCAGCTGTGATAGCTTTTCAATGCTACACACTTCCAAGAGATTTAGGGACGGCATGAATGGGGGGAGGGGAAATGCTCAGCACTGCACTGGTTGCTCCAACTCTCCCCCTGGAATGGGCAGGAGTGAAAATTGTGGGTGCTTTTTCAGTGTAGTTTGGGACATGAATGGGTGCTGGATACGTTGCAGAGCCCCTCTTGACAAACTAAGCAATTTTCCTATTTTAACAGGGTTTAAAGTTTAAGGCATCCATTTCGCTGCTTAACCAG